ATGTTTTACATATTCTAGGTTGTCTTCAGGAGTTAGAAAGAACTGATTCTCTTTGGGAAGAGCCATTTAGCCACCAGACACACATTTTAAGTGTGCTTCCTTACCATGTCCTCACAAGCACGACTTTAGCAAATATAATTATGGATGCAACAGTACTTGAATTCCAAGACTCTTTCTATTAATTTTCAGGGAACATATTAATAAGTATTGCATGTTGAGCAAATATTTACTATTTCCAAGTAAAACATGAAGCTGTTATTTTTTTTTTCTCCAAATCAATTTGTATGATATTGTTGCAGATGTTTTTATATGAACCAATACAGAAAAAGGTTAGAAAGAAACAGACAAGGTGTGTGCAGCATGGCAAAAATGTCATGTAATGCTCTGGCTTAAAATACAGACTTTCTTGCACATTTATTCTCTGTTCGTATTTTTCATTCATTAACAAAATAGTTCAGCATGACTAGATTTTCTTCCTCCTCTCTCTACCCCTTTCAAGTATTGAATTTCTTCCTTCCTCACCTTCCCCACAAAGTCAAGAAACAGTTTGTTTTCAGGTCTGTTTTAAGCCTCTGAACCTGCACATCAAATAAACCAAGCTAGTTCCTCAGTGGATGAAAGATGGAGGAGAAATTATTAATAAGCTTCTTATTGACTCAATGTGGCTTCAACAGGAACCCAAATGGTTTATTCTGTTTTATAGTTGGAGATATATGCAAGGCTATTTCTGTGCTGCCACTATCAAATGATGGTGATGATACTTGTGCAAAGGAAAAAGGTTCAAATCAAAAGATTTACACTAAACACAAGAAGAACTTTACCCTTTAAAAAATTCTCTGTAATGGTAAGGTGATTAAACATAGATTTTCTTTTGATTGTGAAGCCAGCAATAAAATTCAGCAAAACCCCTTAGTCCTTGAGAGTTGGCTTCCACATTACCAGTGACACAAGTGCCAGCCTAAGCCAGCAGGTGTTCAGAAATGGTTATTGTAATAGCAACTTTAGAGACTCACAGTGAAGCTCAATTAAAGAGAATACCATTTTCATTACTCTGTCAGGAACTTTATTTCCAACTGTAGCTATGGAAGCTGTTTGCTGGAGGTTTTTCTCCCTTGCAACTGAACCTTGGCATACACAGTGAAATATTTGGTGGAATGTTTCAGTCTGAAAGGCTGTTCATGCACCTTTTGTTTTCTCTGAATGTTTGGTTCCTGAGACTTACTGGCATAATCATTCAAAATGAATTTCAAAGATGCATATGCATGTCACCATGGAAACTGAAGGCTGAACACAAACAGCAAAGCTGCAGCTGGGATGCTTGTGTGCTTTATCCAGTTTGAGCATGGAAGCAGTGCCATGTGAATTATGCCAATAGTCTCACATCAACTGTGGTGTTTACGACTAGCAGAAAGTTCTTTGCCATTGATCTGGTGAGGGTAAGAATATCTCATGACTGTGAAATCATCTTAAATTACAGCGGATGAAAGAAGTGTAATTTTTGCAAATTATTAATAGAAAAGAAAACTAAAATGGGCATTTTTTGCCTGTATTTATTTTCTCGACTCAATCTCGGTCTTCAATCCTCTGTCTTCTCTTGCTGATGTGTTAATGCTTTGCCTGTGACCTCACAAATCAAGGACTGGTGAGGATTCACACTTGGCTCTACAACTTCATTTCAAGATTATTATATTATTTTCAAGAACTGTCATGGTTTAATGCCAGCCAGCAGCCAAGAACCACGCAGCCACTCACACTCCCTCCTCCCCCTTCTTCTCTCCCAGCCTGGAGGAATGGGGAGGAGAAAAATAAAGTAAAATATGTAGCTTGAGATAAGAGCAGATTAATAATAAAGAGCAGAATGAGCTAAAATGCTAATGGCTAATAAAAAGAACAGAATCAGTGATGCACAATACAATTGCTCACCACCCGTGGACCAACGCAACCCAGAACCTCCCCCGGATCGGCCCTTCGGCATGACGTGCCATGGTGGGGAATATCCCTTTGGCTAGTTCAGCTCACCTGTCCCAGCTATGCTCCCTCCCAATTTCCTGTGTATCTTCTCACCGGCAGAGCATGAGACACAAGAAAGAAAATGTCCTTGATTTAGCATAAACACAATTTAGCAGAAACCAAAACATCAGTGTATTATCACTCTGAATCCAAACACTGCACTACACTTGCTACTGAGAAAATTAACTCCATCCCAGCTAAAACCAGCACAGTTAATGCTTTGCCTGTGACCTCACAAGTCAAGGACTGGTGAGGACTCACACTTGGCTCTACAACTTCATTTCAAGATTATGAGAACTGTGAAAGGGAAAACATTAATATACTACTTGTGGAAGAAAATGTTTTCATTTAGATTTACCTCTAGTGGGATGCATAAGAAGCTAGTTGTTTCACTTCGCAAGATATTAGTTAATTTATTATTATGCACTGTAGAAAAAAAGTGCTGCAGTGAACCAAAACTTTCATTGTTTCATAGCACTTTATGGCAGTCCTATGTTCTGTGGCAGTCACCACAAGGTTAGACACTTCACAAACACCTGCACTGGATAAACAGACTGTAGATTTCTAGGTATATTCACTGTTTGGTAAACTGAACCAGTGTAATTAGTTGATACCTACGTCATAATTCCTAAAGTAGCAAAGGATTTTTTTTTGCTTAACCTAATATATTGAGCTTTGCAGTTCCTTTAATTCATCATTTTGATGATGGATCATCAATCCATGCATATATTGCATTCCCAAAATTGATGAAGAAGTTAAAAATTCTGAAGGCTTGTAGTAATTAAGTGATGCAGAAGATTTTGTTAGACTTGGTAGTGTAGCTGTATAGCAATTTACTCAGCATCATAGTTCTGTAGTTGAAACTTTTCTTCTGAGTTGAAATACTTTCTTTTTTCATCCCAGCTAGATAGCGTGATAGGAATATTTTTTCCACTTCTCTACTTTGAGGAAGCAATAGCCTATACTTTACAACCCTTTTACCCCCACAGAGAAGTGGGTAACAGAAGAAACAAAATGGGAAATGTGCCCACCTTTCATGAACTGGCACCTTTAAGCCTGGCTGTATGGTACATGCTTTCTCACAGGCTTTAGTATTTACCTGTGGGTCACAAAAAAGGGTATCAAAAAGGACTTGGAGTCAGGCACACCATAGGTGAAACAGAAATGTGATTACTCTCTTCTCAGCAAAAAGATAAATGAATTACTTAGCATCCAATTAATTGTTACACCACTTTATACCCTTCAAGTCGTTTTCTGAGCTAGTTTTAAAGATACAGCAAGAATGTTTCAGACTGCAAAAAATCCAAATTGTGCCAATTTCTGGGAATAAAACCAATGTTTTCTCTCTCCTTTAGGGTTTGATTTATTCATAACTGTTTTGAGAAATTCATACAGTACAGTTTTGGTGTTATTGTCTGCTAAAGATTTTCCCTCCTTTCCTTTTATTGGCCCCATTTCTCCCACACACAAATCCACAAAGCCACAGATGCTCCATTACAATGATGTCAGTCTTGCTACATGCTCCAGCTGTTTGGTAGGTACATTTATAAAGCTCAGCCTTTCACATTATGCCATAAATGTGTATTTCATGTATAAACATAAAGCTAACATATTGCAGATCACTCTAAGTGTAATTTTAATGGAGGTTCAGTAAGTTTAAAAAATACTGAAAAGTGTTTAATCTTTCCGTTGGCAACATTTTTATAGTAAGTTTTCCAGTTGTTTTTTTTCCTTAGGTTAGGTTTGAATATTCCCTGCCTTCTCCACTATTTCGTCTTCTGTGATCTTTGGAAAAAGCAGGGAGTTATTTTAGTAAGACAATATGTATTTTAAAGAAAGATGTCTGAGGAAAAATATGTCTCTCTCCACATCTTCTTGGTGCTCCAACCCTCACTTAACGTTCTGTACATTTACCAGCAAACCACACTGAAAAACACCTAATTCCTGGAATTGCCAGCTTTCAGTGATATTTGATATGGCAGATACTCTGTTGATACGATATATAAATTCTAACAGATTGTTTTACAAATTCATCAAGTACTGGGTCTGAGCCTTAGAGTCTCTTTTTGTATTGTGTCCTGAATTTCAAAGAAAAAGCTAAACAGTGCCTATTTGGCTCTGCTTTCTGCCCCTTTTCTCTTTGGAATTTGCTTAAGGATTCAGCTCATTGAAACTGTGCATCATTGACTAGTGCCCACAGGTCACTAGTGAGGTGAGGTCCTTGGTCTCCCCTGGATGATTTCTTTCTTACAAGCAATGTCTTAATTTTTTGCTTTACTTTTGAGTTGCTTACTTTGTCTTCATTTGAATGTAGTGCTGAGTTATCACCATAGTTGTACCATATAGTCATCATTATTCTAAAACAAATCACTTAGGAAGATTCTGAGGCTTAATCTCTTTTGTTGGCTCAGCAATAAAATGGCTCTCAAGAGAACAGATGAAAGCTGAAATCTCCCTCAGTAGTTCATGTTGCTACAAGCAAGACCCAGAGTGCATAAAAGCTCTAATAAGATTGTAGAGGGTAAGGTTTGGGACCATGAGCTATCAGTATGTGCCTGCAGAAGAACCCTCCTTATTTTTGTGCATCAGTTTCATTCCAGACCATAAATACACAACTGGGTATTCATATTGGAGCAGAATTCAGTTTTGAAATCTGAAAAAGAAAAATCTAATAAACACCTTGGTAATTCACTTGTGTCTCAATCTCCACATTAACATATCAGCAGTACAATCTCATCTGTTCTGCTTCACCTGTGTGTTCTTCAGTGTCATGTACACCTTGAAATGGACAGCCAAATTCTGTGAGCAGAGGGGAGCATTGCCCAGTGCCCTCTACTTCTACAAGGCGTGAATATATCAGATAATATATAAAGTCAGTGATATTTGTGACTTTATTACAGCTGGTGTTGACAATTTCAAAAAACCCTAACAAAACCTATGGCTCAGAAATACAGATAATCACCACTATTTGGTTTCTTTTTAATTTTCAGGTCTTTTGTTATCCAGCAAATCCCAAGCAGCAACCTCTTCATGGTGGTAGTAGATAACGAATGCTTCTGTGATTCTGTACCACCAATTACCATGGCACCTATAGAAATAAGGTATATCCTTTTGTTTATAAACTTGTCAGAAGGAGATTCAAGATGCAAATATTGAAAAATCTCTTCTAACGTAAAACTTGCATTGCATGACATCATCACCCATTATAAAGTGCCGGAGCTGTTTGAAATTAAGGCAGCTGAGAATGTGGGTTTTTTTGATGAAAATTCACTTTTTTTTTTTTTGGAGAGTCAATACAAATTCAGCAAACACACATGCATCTTTACGTATCTATGATACTAAAAGGTCATGGTCATCATCAGATAGATGAACATTTGAACATTTTTCAGATTAGGCCCTAAGCATGTAATTTCCTTATAAGAATGGAGTTCCTGATATTGGAACTGATAAAAGTCCTTACAATATAGGTATATACTTTAGGGTTGGACTGGAGCACAGAAAATGTTTCAGAATCCTGCTCTCCAAGAAAATAAAAATGTAGCAAAGTAAATATATCACTTGATTTTTAGTTGCCCACTTTCTATTTTGTGCTGTTTTGTGGTTCGGGATTTGTTTTCTCTCATAAGCAGGAATTTGTCAAAAGCAACCTGCAGTGTGCTTTTGCTGCAGACATATAGGAAAGATAAGTTAGCAGTGTAAGTGCACATGATACTGTTGAAACTACAGATCACAGAGAAGAAAGCACTAGAATTACTTTCTTTTTCTTGTGGTGACCATACATATCACCTTGGAGTTTTGATGGAGAGGAAGAAAGGAGCTAAAAGATTTTCACTATATTCATTTCAAAACACTCCCATAAAAATGTAGTGCTCAGAACATCTCTCCTTAACTGCCTTGTACATAATGAATCCCTTAAATGTGAACGTTTAAAATCTCAGAAGATAAGAAGACGCCCAGAATCTTGTCATGGATTTCACCCTGAAGTAAGTTTCTGTCTACTTTTCCTTTCTTTTGGACTCTGATAGATGTTTTAGTTCTTTACAAAAAATAAACAGGAAAACTATCTTCCAAGGTCTAATGTCAGGAAATATTCAGAACACTCAGTAGTAAGGAAAGTGAGTGACATTGTAAGTGATGCAAATCTTTTTAGTACTCATGTAGATAATGACTTGCTGCTTTTGCAGACTGTTTTGTATCATGTAAGAGAATGTGGTAGGATGTGAGCACAAACTGGCAGCCAGGAACATCTGAGAACTTGCTCTGGCTCAAGCACTGACCACAAGATTCCTTATTAGAAGTGGTTGGCAACTTTGTGCTGTTAATGTTTCTCTCAGTAGCTAGCTTTAGTATCCCAACTGTCATGCGATAGTCATTACATTTGCATGTAATATTGCTTGGGAGGGATAGTGATCCCTCCACTACACATATTTACTACTCTGTGTTCTGCATAATACTCATATTTGTACAGTGCCAAGGAGAACTGATATAGACCAGGGTGTGATTACAGTGGCTTGTACAGCATATGTTCATAGACATCCATTTTACTCTGGAGTAACTTTGTTTCGTGCCTCCGATGGTGTAAGGCAATGTAGAAAGAGACCAAAAATATGGTGTAGAGAGGATTGTGTAATGCTTGTTGAGCATGTTCACTTTCAGTCTACAGTCTAAACTTGTTCAACTCAAAATGTGTACCTGTATTACTTCCTGAGTGTATGTAGTTCATGGGATTTGTTGTTTGCACCAATGGTCTTCTGCCTGTGTTTGGTAAATATTCATGTAATTGAGAGTAACGGCTTGTATTTATTTCCTTTTTTTTCTTTAGGAAAATGCAAGAGAATGTGGTGGTGTCTCAGGCCTTAGTGCTAAGCCTACTCTTGTTCTTCTTCCTCTGCTATTGACAATTTTCTCAAGGTGACATTGACTGATGTGTTCAATTGGCATGCTAATATATGGATAAACTGTGAACTGGGAAATGGTGCAACATAGAGGACATGAAATATAGTCAGAGCATCAGCATTTCATGATTTTAAACTGTTGGTGATATAAATTCTTAAAGATATGTTGAAAAAAAGATTTATCTTTTTACTTTGCAAGTCATGCAGATGTGAATTTGGCATATGGTAGTCATGATTCATCAAAAAAGGACTTGGTAGATAGAGGTGACCATTGCTTTGTCCCATTGAAAACAATTTAAAACTGTGTACTTTTTTCAATAAAGTATATTAAAATCACAATTTCAGAGTGTATTTTAAGTATGCTAATATATATGTTCCAATAATGAATGATGGGAAGAGAATAAAATAAATGGAAGAGCTTTTATTACGCTTTTAGTCTGTTTCTGAAAAGATTTGGAGAAGTAAATGTGGAGTTAGCTTTTACACTAGGGCTAAATAGCTTTTATTAACAAGTTAAGGAAACACCTGTGTGTGTATGAAGCTGAGCAGGTAATACACAGTGCTGAATTGTAGTGAAGGTTTGCTTTCTGGAAATAGCTATAAAATACTTCTGCTGGATTTAGAAAGTGAGGCAAAGCCTCCTTGTCCCTAACTTGGGCAAACTTTAGATCAAATTGGTTGATTTAGTTGCAGATGGTAAAATTAAATACTTTACATGTTTCAATTTGTGGGAAGATATGTAAAATAGTACATAAAAAAGGATGAAACTGTTCTGTTAATGATCTACCCTTTAGATGTCATGTCAGCTAGGAGAAACTTGTGATGAGGAAATTCCTAAGTGGAGAAAGTTTGACTTTTACAACGTATCTGTGCCAGCAGAACTCACTGTTTTCACTAAGAATTCACTGAAGCTCTCTCTCAGTGGGCAAAGATCAAGACCAATATTTTTTTATTCTAGGCCTTACATTCTTTTTTGTAAGGGAAATGAGAAGATAAATTGAGTATAGTCCTCTTGTAATTGGTAGCAGCATCCCTGTTGTGGTTATACTTGCAGATGATCTTGATCTTTGAACTATGTTAATCTCTCAGTTTATCTTTGGAGTTTTATAAGAGGTAGAATGCTATCAAAAATAATGTGGTCTCCTAACAATATAATACATTTAATGCAAAATAAAATGCCACTGTTCTACATCTGGTACTTGAAGATTGCCATTTCCTGGCTGGGAGTAAGTATGCTTTTGGCCTTGGAGAAAAGCTAAGCAGATTTGCGATGTCTCTTAGTTGGGAATAGGGAGCTAGGCCACTGAGAGGGGCTTTGTTTTAAGGAATACGATAGTAAAATAAAATTTCCACTTCAATGCTTTAACAGGTTCAAACGCACTGGTACTTCCTCTGATTCTGAAACCATACAGGTCTTTGTCTGGACTTATAATTTTCTTTTCCTCACCTTAATTTTTTTTGGTTTTAGGAGTGTTTTCCTACAGACTTCTCTGTCCTTCCTTGTTGCTCTCAAAATCACTCACTATGGAATAATTTTCCAGCTGGCGTTCAGTCAATCTGAAGTCCTAGTGACATGCTCTGTTTACTAAGCTAATTGGGAATTCAAGGCATTTTCTACACTTGGACTGACACAGATATCCTGCCGTTCTTTGCTTAGGTTTTCTCTGAGCTCTGTTCCCCCTTACCCTCCATCATTCTCTCAAAAATTAATCTTGATACTTTGTAAATAAAGTGTTTTATTTTCTGATTTCCCATCTGAGTTTCCAGAATGCAGAACACTGCAGCTTCATGATGCTTTTTTATGTCTGGTGCTTGTTCTTTCACAATGCTACTTACATGAGAAATGTCTATAACCAACACAATCCAGGTGATCTTTCCTTGTTAGTAGAAAGTGGAAAGCAAATCTTTCTCATTAGAGCTATTGAAAAGCTCTGCATACATCTGTCTGATGGATAAATCATAATTGCTTACAAAGAAAGGAAATACATTAAAAGAGAAAATTTATCTCTACAGAACCTAGATGAAAATGCATAATAATAATTCATGGTTAATTTTGCAAAGAGGTGGGCAGTTTTGTAATTAGAAAGGAGCCAGGAAATGACAAGAGAGATTAAAATATGACAGTCTAAATTAATATTGTGAAAGAGATTAAAATATGGGTATGTAAATGAATATTGCTCAGAGAAATGTGACAGCTCATTTTCACACATTAAGACAAAGTTATAAAGGCAGAATGCATTGGTGTACACAAACAAGTTAGTGTGAAACAGAATAATCCAAATATGTTGCTAAGTGCAAAAACATTTTTATGAGTTGCCATTTCTTTGCTAATGAAGACATCTTTTTAATTTTGTATTTATTCCTTTAGAAGTTCCTGATGCAGTGTGAATCCATGTTGCTAGACCAGTAGTTTAGGAGAAATGGATACTAGGCCAACTGACTCAGTGGTGCACTAGTAAGATCACCTCTCCAAAGTGAAGTGGCTGCAGTACAAACAGCCTGTGTCTGAACACTGAAACTGTGATTCTGAGTTTACTGGACAGAGCTCACTGACACAGGCTGAAAACATGCCAAGGGCTGGGTGAAACACTTTGCAGTGCTTAGCTGATGCATAGGAATGTTCCTGACTGCTGTTGAGTTTACCAGTCTGTATGTCATCATTAGCTCTGAAACACTGGGAGGGTGTGGAGATACCATATCATGAAGTGGGTCTGTGCTGTCATACCAGAACCTGTGGCAGGTCATAGAAGGTGGAATTAAATTCCATAACCTACTAATCCTGGGTGCTACTTGTGTATGCCTATGCATACATACAGCTGAATATATGTAAACCATACGTTTTTAATAAATGGGACATTCAGACATCATCTGTATTTTTTATCTCCCTGAATCTGAGGACAAATCCAAGGAGAACAAGGACAACTGTACAATCAGTTTCTACACAGCAAGAGGCATAGCTGAAAGTTTTAGCTTCTGCAGGCCTTGGATCTTTTTTTCTTCTTTACTCTTTTGCTAATGGCATTGATTTGCAACTTATTAGCCCCAGCTGCCTCATCTTCCTTTAATCTTGATAAAGTAAAAGCTGTTTGAGGCTCAGGAGTGGCCATGGAAACACCATTTTCTAATGGTTTTGTGTGGGAAAATTGTCTGTAACTGTCAGTGCGGCAAACACTCCTTTAAAATCCTGTAAGCCAGAGAGCCTCAGGCAGGTTTCTGCAGCTGTGCTATCTCTTCTTATTGTTTTTGTGACACTGAGACTGCCTGACCCACTGTGTTTTGCTGCCAGGGCCAACTCTGCAATATATATGCTTGGCGACACAGGTGGTTGCCCAGGGCAAGGAGATATTAAAAGCAGCAGTAATTGTTTCATTGCCTAAATAGCTTCAAGAAACCCTTTCAGTTTTCTTCTGATAGTAGAAGTTCCAGAACAAGGCACTGGCCTGTTTAGACCTTTGGGTTCACAAGGCAAGAGAGAAGTTTGGCTCAGAAGGTTTGCAGCTAGAAGATGCCAGTTATTTCCATGTGTTTCCTAAGTCTTTTGTGGCCTCCAAGGAGTTTTATATCTCAGGACTTTCTGTGCCTCAGAAATTCCAACTCAAGCAAATTCAATGCAAATAAGCACTCACAATTGGAAAGTTTTCTGTAGAAAAGTGCATCAAAACTTTTCAACTGTGGAAAATACTTTTATATAATGCTTCTACTAGATTGTTCTTTCCCCTGAACTAAGATACTTCCAATAATATGTTTTTTTCTACTTGTTCAAATTCTTCCCCATGGTTATTAGGGTTTTTAGTATGTATTTAGATCACTTGCTACTTATCTGCTGTACAACAATGCATTCTCTCCAACAGGTCCAGCTCCCATGTATTTTCTGAGAGAGAAATGGTTCCCATGTACAGCATCTTCCGAAGGTCTTGCTGGAGTTCATCGCAATCCAGTCTGAAGACAATTTTCTTCAATCATCTTTAGCCTTTGGCCCTTAGTCTCAGATCATAGTTCTTCTAATATAATAACATTCTTGCTAGAGTTGCTTGGGAGGATTTACATCCTCTTCAGAGTCAATCTTATGTTTCCTCCCAAGAATACTTTTGGAACTGGATCTTGTAATTTAGATGTACCAAGTCATAGTCTATTCTTGTGATGCTCTGATTGGAAGAATATGTTTCCACCTCTTCCAAACTGTTTTTTCCTTCTTCTTCCCATGGTAACTGCTCAACTTACCAAAAGTTATTTTATTGTTTGCACTTCAGTACAAAATACTTTTGAACTCCACAGGTCTATCTAGCACATGCCTTGAAGAATTCCAAAGTACAGCATTAATCTAGGAAGAACCCACTGATTTTCCTTGGCTTGAAGTGGAAACAAGAGGCACTTTTGCATTATGGTTGAGTGAGATTCAGGTTAAAAAATGGTAAAACAAAACTAAATTGCCCTTCAGTAACTCATATTAACAAAATATATGCAATGTATTTTAAAACAAATTTATACCTTACAGAGATTTGTTCAGTGCCAGGTGACTGCTTAATGGTCAGTTTGAAGGATGTGAAACTTCGCTTGCAGAATTAGATCTGACTGAAACTGAAATGAGTGTGAACAAATCATGCTCATTCATTGTGAAAGCATTGTATGCCTATGTACACTCATGTTAAATAGCTAATTACTGAGGCTTCCTTTAGTTCTGTAATTTTTAAAAAAACACCTTTAATTAAACTTTTAAAAATAATTAAAGAGTGGTAAGTACATTTTAAAATTGTTTTCTCCTGAATCTGATGGTGGTCTTACTTAAGAGTAGCAAGTCAATCTGTGGGTTGATCCAGTCATTCAAGTGATGAGATGCTGAAACCTTAAGAAGATAATTTCCCTTTCAACAGTTTTAGCAGATTTGATTGCTTATCATTGTGGCAGGAATAACCAGGTAATAATGTTTGTGTCACACCACCCTCTAACACCTCACCAGGCATCTAAAGCTCACATTTGTTCTCTGCTCACTGCTAATAGTTTCTGGTAGCATATGGGTGCCTTGACTATGCAGAGATCTGTAGGTAATTCACACAAAATTGACAAAATAGTATTGAAATAAATCACTGCAGTATCAAAATAAATGGCACAAAAATGTTCCTTGGGATATTTTCATTATTCATTGTAAGTCCATTGTTATCTTTAAATTGAATGGAATTGAGGCTGAATTTCCCATTTGTCATGTCACAGTGCTGTGGAATCCAAGATACTTTTGAAGAGTTGAGCTCTAGTTCATTCAAGTAGTGCAGAGTTTGGTTATCTGTTACTTGAATTCTTTTATCAAAAGGTTATAAGGAGTTGACAGCTAGTAGGGCCCCTGT